AAAATTTTGTCTATTGTAGTCTGTGTTAAGCTTCAAAGAGCTGACTTCAAAGATGCACTATCAAGCACAGGTAGTCTGTCTGTTGTGAAAGGAATAATATTTATTCCTCATTCTTCACACTTCCAAAGAGTATAGGGAATTTCTATTCTATCCAAGAGGGAAAAGTAAGCTCCTCACTCACTCCATTTCAGACTGAGAAGAATGGGAAAATTTCTCCCAAAGCTCTCTGTATGTCTTTGATATCAGCCAAAAATCAAAAAATCATTTTCTGAGGCAGGCTACAAGGAAACCTGAAGTTGTTTCTCTCTGCCTTGGACAAGTCCTGCAGGCAAGTCCGTCTAACTTAGGGTTAGAGTATTTGGTAACTCTTTGTGGTCACACATCCTCTAATCTAGTTTTTGTCAGTAATAAAGCTGATTTTTTTTTTGCCTTTATCTGAATCTTTGTCTCTTAGTTCCAAACAGAGGAAGAATTCCTCCATCTCTACCCTCACTCCATTTCAAGAAAACACAAAACAAGGAGTCCTAGAAAATAAAAACTGAAGACTATATTAAAGTTCAGGTAGTTTCCCACCACTACATGTAAAACATGTCTAGTAAAAAGTTAAGATCATCAGTGAGCAAAAACTTTTTGGGGGTAGGGGAAAATTATCATGAAGTATAATACACATAAATAAGCACAGAAGACATAAAGGTATAGCTTACTAGTTCACAGAGTGTATGCCCATGTAACTGTCAGCCAAGTTAAAAAGTACAACATCATTGGCATCCTGGAAGCCCCAGTACTTTCCTTCCCAATCACTAACACCTCTTTCCCTTACAAAGTTAACCAGATACTGATGTTTTAACACCTAAACCTGTGTCCTTAAATACTATAATTTTGCCTATTTTTTGAATTCATATTAAATGGAAATATATGGTGGGTATTTTTTGTTCTATATTAACTGCTTTTATTTTGATCTCTATTGACTTTTTGTTTTATATTATGTTTTTGAGATACAGCCGTGACTTGTTCTTTGCTTTAGAATATTCCCTTGTTTGGGTATATACAACTTACCCCTTCTATTGTAGATGACCATTTGGATTGATTCCAGTGTTTTGCTATTAAAAGTATTGATTATGCAGCTTTAGACATTCCTGTACATATCTTCTTGGTATTCGTGCTCTTGAATTTCTGTTTAGTTATTTCTAGGAGTGGATTTGCCAGTAGTAGTTTAGAGGTGTCTCACTGTGTATTTCATTTAAACTTGCATTTTCCTCACTGCAAATGAGATTTGGCACCTTTATGTGTATTTTATTGGCCATTGGATAGCCTCCTTTGTGCTGTACCTAGTCACATCTCTTGCCT